TACTCTCTCTCTCTCTCTCCTCCTCCTCTCTCTCTCTCTCTCTCTCTCTCTCTCTCTCTCTCTCTCTTTCTCTAATTTTTCTATGTTACATTGCGGCAACTCCAGACGTATTTTATTTAGAATAATTCTTTCTTCGCAACAGTCATTAGCGTTTTGTTGTACGTCACATGTTCATTGCACCTAGAGAATTCAGATTTCAAGTATCGTTATTAGCGCACGTGGTCATTCCGCTTCTGGTTTAAATTTAAAAGAGTCGCGACGAATATTCCAAGAGTGACTGAAAATGACATTGCTGTTGATCATAATGTTAATTAAAAAAAAAGAAATTAATTAAACAGACTTTGATCTTTTATATATTACAAGAAAGTTTATTCGATAAAAGTGCGATAGCGGACCGGCTGAATAAATTTAAACACACGCAACGTTACTGTAACACCTTGAAGCTGACTAAAGGGTTCCATTCGTTATTCTCTTAATTATATGCATATCCGTTTCGCGTCCTTCGGCGAACGAAGAGACCTTGGTGAAAGTGTGGCAAGTGTGAGAAATCCCTTGTTAATTCGCAAATTACATAATATCGTACTGTAATTGTAACCTTTACCTTTACTTTCATCCTTGTACATTACTATCAATAAAACGTCCTTTCTTTTTTTCTCTCGTTACGTTCACAATTGTGAAATCGAGAATACGCAATACCGTCGCGGGACGGACGGGCGGGATGTGCGGCGCAAAGCGGACGAGCGTGGAAAAAGCGTCGGCAATCCGTCATAACTGTTTCAGTAGCGGGATGCTGCGTCGGTTTTTCTTATTAGGAGGATCTCGCTAATCGCGCCCCGCTGATCGACCCCGCCGCCACCGCCGCCACCGCCGCCCGATCCGTGGCGGAATGCCTCGTTCTTCTGCGCTCGTTGGCATGGTTCATCGCCGGGAAGTTCAGTGAACGTATTACGAGTCGCGAATGGATTCGAGCGTAACGGAACAGCGAACGACCTTCGCGGATGCGCGGCGAGTTTCGCAAGTTGCCGCGAGTTCGACCGCCAAGATTGCACCGGGATACTACGATCGTCCGGAAGGAATACGCGAGATCGCGATACGTACGCGCGAGCCTTGGCTATGGAATCGAGTCGATCTTCGATTCAATCGATCAGATTTTGAACGCCTTCCTTCATAATTTTCCATAAAATTATTATTATGGTACATCTAATCATATATTCGTTTATTCACTTTTTGAATTTCGATTTTTCGATTTTTTTAGATTACTGTCGCGTCTCTGATTTAGTGGACTCAGTCTCCTCTCATCTTCTTTTTCCTTTTTCTTTTTTTTTAAATTTAAAAATGTATGTGTCATATCTCAAAGAATTATCAAAAATGTAATAAAAATTTCATGTATTGTTCTGATTAATGCGCTTGACTATCCGTGTAAAATTTGAGCGCAAGTCTCCTATTGATTTATAAGTTATTTAATCTTTTGGTGTGTCTTGATTCCTATGTAAAATCATATTTTATAGTATTTATTTGATGAGGAAGTAGCACTATGAATTAAATCAAATTTTTTTATATATATATTAGTAAATATTTATGCAAAACTTATGCAAATATTTAGACCCACTTACTCGTTTAAAAGTTATTTACCTAAAATTGCAAAATATGGATAATATGCACATACATTATAATTCAAATTATTTATTATTTTGATTTTACAGTTACTTCCTGATGTATTATATTTAAAATCAGAATTTTTTTTATTTATTGATTGGAAAAATTTACGTACGAACTTGAAGTTTTTAAACTTCAGTTATTTTTATATTGTATTGCCATAATATTTCTTAGTCGCGCCGAAAAATTACCGTTGCAATCAGTTATTCATCATTCATTCTAATAAATGAATCGCGCGTATGTCGTACAACAATGGCCGACGCCGAAAGTAGCAAAGCATGGCTAGTGCCGAGTAAACGCGCTCGCATTCTCGAAATGTGTGACGCGCGTCATTATGGACAGTAGTGCACTGTAGACAGAAACGAAGAGTCTCACAAACTAGTGGCACATAAAAAAATCTAAGCAGTAATACTTCAGTAATAAGCGAATCTACCAATCGACTTGAGAATTATCGCAAGATTGTCATTTTAAAATTCCCGGCTACGAATGATCAATTTACTTCCAGATTAAATTTTACTGCTTACGTTCTTTTACAGAAAGAATATTAATCAAGACTATATATAAGCAAGAATGACTATATATAATCTTTCTTAAACAAACTTCAGTAATTTTAGGAAAATTTTGTTAATTTTATAAATTAAATAAAAAGAAAAATTATTAGACACAGAAATCCTGTCTCTCAAGCAATGCCACTTATTACTCTGTTATTTGAAAATTGTAATCTTTGATCGATTGAATTTGCATTGACGCAAGTATAGATATTCTCATATATAAGAAATACAATCTTCGTATAAAAGATTTTTATATAATAATATAATAATATTATATATTTTTAGCCTTGAGTTGAGCAAAAGTAATACTTGCATCAACATAAATCGAATCAAGATTAATATTTTTTTTTAAGAAGATTATAATATTTCTTGTTTATAATATGAGAATATTTATCTTGATTGAAGACTAATTTTTTTTATGTGCCATGGCACACGTGTGCCCGTGTCTTTTAGTAATCGTCCCTAACACGCTCTGTTTCTGCGGTGGGCTATCCTCGTTTGGGCGAGTTTCTAGACTAAGCATTACTTTCCGAAAATGTATCCGTTTCCGTGGTTGAATGCGTCACGCAATGTGTCACGCGAGCAATCATTCGTGACTACTTATATCCGGAAAAACTAGGCGATACAAGTAATGCCGTGCAGTATGACACCCCAATCATTCATCTTTGCCTTTGTAATCTGTCGTTTTTATTTCCGATGACACTCCGATGAGGCAAAAGGTGGCACACCGTGACATTCCTATTTATTTGCACGCCGAGGAGTTTTTGTTCATAACAAAAAAATTCATTATCAAAAGATTACCGGTGCCTCTCACTCAGAAAAAAATTGATGTCGCTGATCTACGAGCAAACACAAAAGTTTGTCGATTCTAAGGAAATTTTATATTTGTGACTAACATTTACATGACTCTTAAAATATCATTACAATTATATAATTTAACATAGTTAGCGACAAATATTTTATTTCGCACGTTTCTTTGGCAATTTTCATCTTCGTCGCGGATTTTGTGTCATCAATCGGCGCCGTTCGGCGATAACGATCGAAGATTGAAAGGGTTGTCATGTATAAATAACATAACGATTTTCCGCAGGCGTTTCCGTGTCCGTGAACTCGAGAAGGAGCAGCAGACAAGAGTGGTCACTACAGCTATTTGACACAGAAAACTTAGCTACGTAGCGGGATCGGCACGTGGCGGGCGGATTTACGCTCGTAAATGTATTCATGCACGCGGTTAACGCGACTACGTGACTATCGTGCTTTGATATGCAATTAAATGTCACGCATAAAAGAATTTCGTTCGTTTCAGTCTCGGGAATATAGTACGTGTCAGCCGCGTCAGACATATTCCCTCCATCTCTTGCAATCTGAGAAAGCAATTTTTCTTCCCTTGATTAAAAAATTTCGTGGAAATTTAGAATTTTGAATTACACATACGTATGAACAAAATATTTACATTGGAAGAATATTATTTAGAAAACGTATTCAAACGTATTATTCGAACTTGTAGATTTATAAAAATCTTAAAAATCTCAGAAAACAGATTTTAAATAAATAGCAAAAGATTTTAATAGCGATCGAAACTTTTAAAAACTAAAGTCTGATAAATTTAAAAAAAACCAAATATATTAAAATTTGTATTGTTTATATAAAAAGTAAACTTATTGCATAATTAACATGTGAAAATTTATATTTTCGTCTTCTACATGTCGCCACTTTTACAATTTCGCATTATTCTCTTTAAAAACAGGTTCAATTAATAATATACACCTCACAAAAAAGAAATCCATTTGGGTTTTTTGATTCAGATTAATACAAGCAGCGCTACATTGCACCTTGTTGAGGGAGTTTAAAATTGACGTGCACGATAACTCAAAAATTATTGATCCGATTGAATTCTCGCTGTGCACACATTTAGATAAATACTTTCATCATAAGTTGAACCACTATTTGCAATTGTATTGTTTATATATGTAATTCTTATTGCATAATTAATAAAAAATGAGTGGGAGTAATTAGAACTTATTATTTACTCCCACCACTCATTTTTCACCAATTAGCGTTCTGTGTCAAAGCGCTGGTGTCTGTATGAAAATCCAGCCTAAGTCACATCTATTTTGCGACACCGCTGATAAAATTGTTTCTCGCAAAATTGATGTGGTGCATATCCGTGCTACATCTTTATATTTATATATTTATATATTTATATTCGAATAATTTTAAGCTATAATAAGAGAAAAATTACACGAACGTAAATATATATATTTGACAATTATATATACATTTTTCATCCCAATTTATGGATATGGGCATCACAATATTTCGCGAGACACGATTTTATCAGCAGTGTCGCAAAATAGATGACTTATTATTAGTTCCGCGGACTCAATTATAGACGTTGGTGGCGGTAATTACGGCGATTTCTATGAAAAAGGCTGAGATAGCCGTTCTCAGATACTTGTGTGAAGATAGCCCCCCCAACATTGAAAAACATAAAGTTTCTATAGCTCATTCGATTGCTCATCGTTTGCACATGTATGCACATTTCAAATTTTCGTTTGCACACTTCTAGTAAAAAAGTTATTAACAATTAAAGTTTCAGAAACGAGCGAATTCGATAGATGAGGTGAAAACAAAAATATTGTGCTTAAAATGATATCAATCGAAAAGTTGTGGCGTTTTCATTCATATTCGGTTCTTGTTTATTATTCATAAATCTACTGCATGTCTCG